AGCCAGACCCCTCCCCTTCAAAAAGAGACCAATCTGAGGTTAGTGTGTTGAAAACTCTTGACGCAGTAACATCTCTCGCGAAAAATGTCGAACGTATCTCCCGCCAAATGCGAAATTCGCGCCGTCATTCGCTACCTCGTTGTGAAGGGAAAAGCTCCGGTGAGACGCTAAAAAAATTGAAAAGGGCGATTGAGAATAAAAGGAGGGGCATGCTGACGAAGGGAGTCTGCCTGTTGCAGGACAATGCCAGACCCCACACGGCCAACACCACGAAGCAACTCCTGGACTCTTTTGGATGGGAAGTTCTGAATCACCCCCCGTATTCCCCTGACCTGGCTCCTTCAGATTTCCCTCTCTTCACTTCCCTAAAGGGGCACATGGGTGGAAACAAGTTTTCAACTGACGAGGAGGTGAAGGGGGAGGTGGAGAAGTGGACGAAAGAGCTGGCGGGAGACTTCTTCGAGGCCGGCATCAAAAAATTGATCCCGCGGCTCACCACTTGCATCGAGAGGGATGGTGACTATGTGGTCCGCCTCGGCGTATAAGTTGTTCCCGGTACAGCTGAGCTGCTAAAGCGCCGTTGCCTTGAGCAACGCCATAATAATAATGCATCGACATTTCAACACCGTTTTAGTGTGAACATGTGGTCAGGAATATTCAATATGGAATTTATCGGTCCATTTGAACTGCCGTCAAGGTTGGATTCGGTAGCCTACAAAAGCTTCCTTGAAAATAGCCTACCATTATTGCTGGAAGATTCAAGCCTGGAAGCCAGACGGAACATGGTGTTCCAGAATGATGGTGCACCATGCCACAACGCAACGATCGTGCGAAACTACTCAAACGAAAGGTTCCCAGACAGATGGATCGGACGAAACGGACCGATACGATGGCCTCCACGCTCCCCTGACCTCAACACCATTGATTTTTTTGTTTGGGGATATTTTAAAGACATAACATTCGCCCAAGAATGTGCAAATGAAAATTCATTGAGGAACAAAATTCAAGAAGCGACACATGTGTTGAAAAACAACACACAAGCATTTAGAGATTTAAAACAAAATTTCATACGTAGGTGTACACTGTGCATTTCTGTTAGAGGCAGACATTTTGAAAACCTCTTGTAAATAACATAAATGAATAATAATCTGCTGTTCAGTAAAAATCAAACGTGTTTTTGTGGTTTTTGCAAATTTTTTTTCCGAAACTAACAATTTCTATTGAGCAGAGGGTTATCCAATTTTGGGTTCGGTTCTATTTGAGCCACAATTACGGTAGCATGTAGTAAAGCTAGGTTGATGAAATTTTTACGGTAAATAGCTGATACCGTAAGGAAGTTTTTAAGATACTTACGAATAGTAAGAACATGTTTTTTCAATTTTTTATAAACGTTCAAAGTTGTTGCACTTTTTTACTTTTTTGTTATGTTCGAAGATTTTGAAAAAAATTAAAAAGTAGTATCAGTTACATGACTTGAATGATTATATGATAGTTAAGCCTTAGATCTTAGCTACATAATCGTGAAAAAAGCAGGCATTTATCACAATTATTAACGAAGTTATGGTAAAAATAAACACAGAACTCAAAAATTCTCGAAAAATCCGAAAAAAAATCATAACTCCTAAACTACACAAAATCGGACCATATATATGGGGGTGATTTGGGTTCCTCTCGATGTGGGGAATCTAATTTTTTTTTTATGACGTCACGTGTTTGGCCACCCTGTATATATACACCTTAGGAAAAACCATTGTTATACATGGGAAATCATTTCTTGGCAACAGAGCATCGGCTCGTCTACTTTCATCGCTATTCGTACATATTTCCTACCGTTAACCGCAGACCTGTATCACGAATGAGAATAATAGGCAGATACGCTGTGTTGCCAATTTGAGTAGAGCTTCCCGAATTGTGGGGAATTTAGAGTTAAGTGTTGATTCATTCAAGCTTTTAATCAGCATGGCCTAGACGTTAGAACTTCATAAAGATAACATTGAAGCTGAATGTTGCTGGAGTATAGTGTTTCGAATATTCAAAGCGGAGCGGGACACTATACTCGTTCAATGGGTCATCAAGGAACAGTCTTTTCAACAAAGAAATTAGTTTACGAAAATGCGTTATATTTTTACGATTTTGTCGTCACCAAATCTCTGTTCCTCAAAATGTACGTCTATTGTAGAATTTTCAGCAAACTAAGCAAGAAACGTGATCTAGTATTTACTCAACATTACGGATTTCTCAAAATACATTAAAAAATGTGACCTAGATACCTAACTGCCCCAAGCTCTTTAAATATAACACCTTAAACCAGGATTACCAGGTGCTCAGTCACGTTGATTGTCATGTTGCACTGCGCAAGTCAGCAAACAATCTGGCGTAATAAACGTTAGGAATCATCAGGTATTGCCAGATTCCCGAATACCGGGCACCATAGTAACCGTTATAGTTGTCCTTCAAAGCTGTCAAATCGCCCCTATGGCGCAAATTCGCCACACCAGGCAACTGTGCTATAAACAAACCCTGTTTATCACTACTATTTGATAGTCATATGGTAGTTGTAGCCCTATCTAGCGGTCCATGATTTCTCTCAATACTGTTGTATCTCTACTGGCAACAAGAATAGGGATTACAAAATCATTTATACAACAATATACAAACATGAAAAATATGATTTGAACCATGAAACATTAATACAATTTTAATAGTTTGAACTTTTTTCATTTTTGGAATACTCTTATGTGGAATCCGCAGCTATTTTTCCCGAAATTTGGGTAGACTTAGATTTCTTAGAAATATGACATATTGGTATCGGCAACTCTGCGAATGGGAGAAACAAATCGCATTTGTTGAGCGCATCCGTCTAAGCGGTAGGCGCCAGCGCCCGTTCTGCCATCTCTCTCTTTTATCACTCTTCTACTTTACCCCGTTGTCCGTCACACAACGACGCTGCCACATAGTATCCTACAATCGAGTGTCTTTCACGCACCTACATACTTTTGTATATTTCCATCTCTCTTCCTCATTATAATGTATAATAATGTTTTTTCCCAAGGTGTATATGTAGGATACCTTTTCCAGAACAATTATTTTACTTTTAATAACAAAGTGTTTTCACAAACACATGGTTGCTCCATGGGCTCTGTGTTATCTCCAATTTTGGCAGAATATGTAATTCATGACCTGCTTGATGTTGTTATTCAAGTATTGCCATACAATCTAATTTTCAAAAAAAACTATGTGGACGATATTATCGTTTGTATTCCTTATGAGAGGGTGGATGATATTGTTGAAGCTTTTAACAGTTATGATCCCTACATCCATCGAAAAAGAAGATGACAATCAATCTGTTCCCTTTTTGGATTCAAGATTGATTCGCACCAATGATAATATATTACTGGTAGACTGGTACAGGAAACCAATTTCTTCCGGAAGGTTCCTGAACTTCAGGTCTTACCACGAACTTAACATAAAAAAAACCTGGTGAAACAAATGAAGAACAGGGTTATAAAAATCTCTGACAGTACTTTCCATCTTTCCAGTTTAAGGAAGCTTTCAGTCTTATTCACCAATAATGGCTATCCGAAGTATTTGCTTAACAGAATCTTGTTCAGCTCTCCTCCGAATATTTTGCCAATGACGAATAACAGTAGTAGATAGGGTTTGTATGTTCTGGGACGCCCTTGAGCGCCGACTTTCGGTGCCAAACGACCTTGGGAGTTGACCTTCGGTGCCAACCTTGAAATGTGACCTTGAAGTATGACCTTGGAACGTGAACTTGAGTTTACGAGTGACCTTGAAGTGTGTCCTTGAAATGTGACCTTGAAATGTGACCTTGAAATGTGACCTTGAAATGTGACCTTGAAATGTGACCTTGAGTTTCCGAGTGACCCTGAAGTGCGACCTTGAACATATATGACCTCGAGCACTATCGACCTTGAGTGGGTATGACCTTGTAGGAGTGAACGACTTTGAGATGTAGAAGGGGTGACCTTTGGAAATATATGCTTAAATTGTGGATCTCGCCGAGAGAAGTCAGTTCTGTAGTTGCAAGTGGCGCAAATGGTACGGTACTAGTGGGATGCAGAGTATAATATTGGCGAAGAAAAGTAGGTGTTTAGTCTGTCAAATGGATAAACTGTTGGAGCATGCAAAGGAGTTTCGTTGGATTCGTAGGTGGTGTTGTTGCGGTACATTTTTAGTTTATTGTTGGACGTGTACTCAACACCGTCCCCATAAAATAGGGTGGATCTTCGAAACGGATGACGAAAATCATTGGTGTAGGAACCGGGTCTCGCCATAGAAGTAAAGTCAGTGGGGAATGGTTTCCTAGTTAAATGGAGTGAGCTACAAGATGGATATAGAGTGCGATATCCATATTAATTGATATATGTAAGAAGTGTAATAAGTAATGCATATGTAGAATGGAGCGTGTGTCAAGTATGCGAGGGGTGTAGAATGGAGCGAAGACCGTTGTCAGCAATATTACTACATCGGTACCAGAAAGATGGGATCAATAGTATGTGAGAGGTCTATCATAGGAGCAAAGTATGCCGTATTTAATATATGCGACGGATATGTGAATAAGCTCCACATACATAGTAAGAACTTAGCAAAGTGTTTGTACTGCGAAAGGCGAATAGCATCGAATAGTATACGTAAGTATGACAACGTTCCGCTGGGAGGCAAGCATCTGTATTGCAGCCGAAGAAAGAAAATGGGAAAGTTAGGAGGAAAAGGAGATCGAGTGTGAAGGTAAGTGAAGGAAAAAAATGTGTGGATAAGTTGAGCGAATAATGAGAGTAAGTTTGTAGAAGCAAGACAGATAGCTAAAAAATTCGAATTTCAGAGAAATTAAAGTGAAAAACGTGAATTGGGTTGGGTGTTATTATCTTAAAGCTAATATGCTTTACAGAATTCTTAAAACCTACAACCTTACAAATGAAATCATAAAACTAAATCCTTAAAGCTAACTCCTTAAAACACATTAGGGGCTGATATACCTCGAATCGCTGGATGGATCCTCCAGATCCCACACGAGATTGTCATCCTGATATGCTTCAGGAATGGCGACCTCAGGTGGGTCGTCAAGAGGAGCAAGGTTGACGTGGAGTTGATCAAGCTCGACCTCAGAATCGCTCTCGGACGAAGACGCCTCCTCCGCACCCTCCCTCGCATCTTCGTCGGCAGCACCTCTCGCAATTAAGGTAGAGGCTGTGCTGTCGAAGAGGAGTGGACTAGCCATCTTCATGGAAGATATACAGATCATTTGGATCCTGACCATCCATGACGATGACTGGGGAGCGACGGAATGCAAAGACGACTATAGTGAGTATGTAAGGATGCTCTCCTTCTCCGTCACAAGGTCGGGAGAATTCGAGGTCATGATGCTATAACGGACAAAGGAACTATGGGTGGGTAGTAATATTCTTAAGAATGAAAGTCGAGGTCACGAAATTAGCATTGGATAATAAATGTAAAACTTAAACGCGATCAGTGAACTTTAATGAAGTAATAAATCTTGACTGTTAATTCATGCTAGAAATCGTGAAAGTCGAACGGAAGAATCCGTGAAAGTGAGTTAGGAGGGAAAATGCTTGTATATAAGTGCTCATAGTCGTAACTGTCACTGCAGTCCAAACACTTCAGGTTGAAAGCATCAGTCTTTGACATTGTGTTCTTTGTTCAATTGCAGACATGTGTTGAAGACCGTGTCTGTGTACCTTGGAGAAGAAGTGCCCGTACTGTGGATTTACGAACAGTCGGCGCCTGATTCTGGATAAACTGTTAAGGCCCCGTGTACGGGTATTGCAAAATGTTCAAGTTGTACCACCACGCGAAACCGTTGACCCTTCGCTGAACGGGCACCCGCAAACGATGGCTAGTACTTCGGGGAATGATGAGTTATTCATCGAAATTGTTAGCATGGGCTCGCAAACCATACTTAACAATTACATCGCCCAAAGTCAACAGAACTCCCCAAATGGGATCGATATTGAGGCAGTGTTAGTATCCATCAATCCGGACATTGATATCTCTACAACGATGAATGCATACAATGCTTGGCCATCGTTTGAGATGAGTTTGTTGGGAGCTCAGCGAATGCCATCCATGTCGAGAGCCACCTCAACCCAGCAAGAGCCATCGGTGTCTGCCGCGATCGTGAGTGATCGATGTGATGTGGACGATGCACTATATCGCGACACCTACATCGAGGAGTTGCCGTTCACGCAACCTGAACGGGACGCCACAGATCGTAGTGTTGTGAATGAGCAACTCAATCGCGACACGTGGAACGAAGAGTTGGCGTTCACGCAACTAGAACGACTCGAAACGGAACGGTGTGCAGTAAATGACGAACTTGATATGTAGAAATGGGATCAAAAACGAAGCCTGCAAATAGGTCAAATTAATGTACAGCAGCTAAAATGTTTTTTTTGTGTCTGATGCCACTGGAGAACGCGAGGTGCAGAAAAATATGTATATATATAACACCTAAAACATATATATATATATATATATATATATATATATATATGTTTTAGGTGTTAGAAACAGATACGTGCACGCCTCACAACAAAATGTTTCAATGTCCAAAATGCCAAAGGACCTTCACGGTGAGAAAAAGTTTGTTGAGACACTGTAGAGAGCGGTGCAGCCAGGATGGGGAGCCCGCATCCAAGCGGCCATGTAATGCAACCGCTTCACGCAGCACTGCAGACAAGTGGGAATGTCCTCGATGCCAGCCAAAATTCTCGGCACGAAAAGGTTTACTGCGACTGTGAGGTACCAAGGAATGCACATGCAGCACATCTGAAAAGCATCAAATATAAGGCACATCTATGGACACCTTTACCCAATAATGTCGAAGTGCATTTCGGGGTAGAATAGCCAGTTATCAAATAACCGCTAGTATAGACACTTTGAACGTTACTGAATATATGAATAATCTCGAACATGACTCCATAAACGTGATTGAAAATGAATTGCATAAGCAAACAACGCTCAAAATAAATATGGAACTTTTTGGTTTATATATCTTACCAGCTAAAAGCCGAGGAGAGGTGAAGTCCCACAATACAAACAATGCAATCATAACACAATCATCAAATTTAAAAGCAATCTATCACGATTTGGGAAGTAAAATAGAACAAAAATCTAAAGATTTTGCAGAAAAAGGCTCAGGGTGGGTGTTAGAAAAGATTTTATATTTAGAAATTAATATTAATAAACATAATCCTTTGAGAGCAGCATCATATTTGCCGCTTCCTAAGGACATTAGGAATAAAAAAGCTGAACTCACTATACGTAATAAGGCTGAGTACTGCTTTGCGTGGTCAATTGTAGCTGGTATGGTAAAATCAAAAGGTCGATCATCACTAACAACGTCATATCCACATTTTTCGAATGTTCCGGGCTTAAACTTTGCTGGAGTGACATTTCCAGTCGCTCTCAAGTCAATATCACAATTTGAAAGCGTGAATAACACATCAATCAACGTTTACGGATTAGAAAAGGAATTCATGGATGGGAAGCCTAAATATCAGGTGGTGGGACCGTTGCATTACACCGCGCAAAAACAACATACTCATCTGAACTTATTACTTATTGATGATTCAGAAGGAAACCATCATTACTGCTTGATTACCAACTTTTTTTTCAAGACTCGTTTCAAGTCAGTTGTCGCGGAATACGAGAGTAAAGCACTTTTTTGATGGGTGTTTACAATACTTTGCCTCAAAAGAAAAATTAGAAATTCACATGCGAACCTATTGCAAATATATTTCAGTTAAGCTCCCAAAATTGGAAACGAGAGTTGATCGTCTTGGAGACACGGTAATGGATAATGTACTAAAATTTTAACAACATCACAAACAATTAAGGCTACCATTTTGCGTTTATGCCGACTTTGAATGCATTCTAGCTCCGATAGAAAATGACTCGAGCGATTCAGAGGATGTATGTACCATCAGAAAGTATGAACATAAACCATCCTCATTTGCTTATTACATCAAAAAATGCTCATTTAATGATTCACTATCCAAATTAGAACTATATAGGGGTGAGGATGCAGCACAAATTTTTGTTACTCGATTAGAGGCTGATCTTAAATTAATATATTATCAATATTTAACACAAAATGTAGAAATGAAAATGACTACGTACGATAAAGCTTCGTTTAATAAGGCAGAGTCATGTTTCATTTGTGAACAACCATTCACCAATACAAATATAAAAGTTAGAGATCACTGTCATTTCACAGGGAAATATCGTGGTGCGGCGCATAGTACAAATGCAATCTCAATTATAAGACTCCGAACTATATTCCAATATTTTCCACAATCTGAAGAACTATGATGCTCATCTATTCATAAAACACTTAGCTATGAATCAAGAACAAATTAAAGTGATTCCATAATCCTTTGAAAGATATGTGTCATTTACGAAATTAGTACCGGTAGACACGTACATTTCCCAAGAGGGAAAACAAAAAACCGTATTTTTGCAAATGAGATTTGTCGATTCATATCAGTTTCTTTCGTCAAAATTAGAAATGTTGGCATCCTTTTTAAGCGCAGAGCAATGTCGGACAGTACGAAAAGTGTTTCCCGAGGACGAAAGATTCTCCTACATGAGATGTAAAGGTGTATTTCCCTATACATATCTTAAAACATTTGATAAATACAATGAAACATATTTACCATCCCAACAAGACTCTTATGACGAAATACGTGATGAACACATCGCAGAGGAGGATTATGAGCGGGCACATCATGTTTGGGAAGTAATGGGGTGTAAAAGTTTGGGGGAGTACTCGGACTTATACTTGACTTCGGATGTTCTTCTTTTGACAGATATCTTTGAAAATTTTAGAGATTTGTGTTTAAAAACGTACAAGCTGGATCCAGCTGACTATTTTACAGCCCCTGGTTTGACTTGGGATGCAATGCTACGATATACTAGAGTAGAGTTAGAGCTGCTTACAGATGTGGATATGGTACATTTTTTTAAAAAGGTGATCCGCGGAGGAGTCAGCACATGTACCTCACGGAAAGTCGAGGCGAACAGTAAATTTTTACCTCATTACGATCCACCAAAGACATCATCGTACTTAATGTACCTTGATGCATCGAATTTGTATGGATATACTATGCAGCAGTACCTACCGACGGGTCATTTTGCTTGGTTAACGCAACATGAGATGGATAGGATTCAAGAAACAATTACACAAATTTCAGATACATCGGATATTGGATATGCATTAGAAGTTGATTTAACAATACTGAATGAGCTTCATGATTATTTCAATGATTTACCATTTTGTTCAGAAAATTTTAAACCACCCAACAGTCAAAGCTCAAAATTAATTCCAAATTTACACAAAAAGAGCGCTACATTATCCATTATCGTAATCTAAAACAATATTTGAAACATGGTATTATCTTGACGAAAATTCATAGAGGTACCAAATTCACACAAGCAGCGTGGTTAAAGTCCTATATACTGTTTAACACGGCACTTAGAAATGCAGCACTTAATCCGTTTGAAAGAGATTTGTTCCAACCAATGATCAATTGTATATTTGGCAAAACGATTGAAAACATGGAGAACAGAGTGGATATCAAATTAGCGTAATCTATTCAAATGGACAAAACAATGATTGATTATTGCCGTCCCGCATATGTTGGATTTTGTATTTTAGATGTCTCAAAAACCGCACCAATATAGTGATAAGGTGTCGTTAACATACACGGACACTGATTCGTTAATAGTACATGTTGAAGCCGATAATTTCTATGAAGACATGAAATCACACATGCATAACTTTGACACATCCAATTATGATGCTGATAACCCGCATAACATGCCTCGAACAGCGTCAGAGTTGGGTAAGATGAAAGACGAATATGGTGGCAAGGTGCTGTTTGCCTTTTATGGTACAGGTCCCAAAGCATACTGTATCGATGCTGTAGATTAAGTGGCTAAACGAGCCAAAGGTATATCTAAGGCGAGTGTGAAATATCAATTACATTTGTTACATTATAAGGATATTATTGAGGAGAAACGGACATCTGTGTACTGTACGATTTATGTATTTAAATCGGAGTCGCACAATATATATATATATACAAATTATATAAGAAAAGTGGCATTGACCAGTATGGATGATAAACGTTTCTTGATACCAAACTCAACAAAGACATTAGCTTGGGGTCATCAAGATATCACCTTTCATAACATGTC